TTGACGTGACAGTAAGATTATATGAACCATGAACTCACATCAAAGATCACTCGCGAAAGTCCATATCAGTGTGTAATTACATACTTGTCACATTCCGCGTGGAGGTTTTCACTTTTCTTCTATTTCATCACAGTGCGTTTACAAACGGCTTCAACAAAAGGTGACACCATAAATTCTCACGGATCCATCTCACTTTTAACAATCTAGATTAAACTGCATAATTGTGGAGTACAATGTCATAATGACGCGTTTTATTGTCTAATAGATGACACTTTGTACATTTCTTTTGTATGCAATAAATCTGTTCAGTTTATATGTTCCATTGAATGCCTACTAAAGTTTTTGTTAAGATAAGAAAATTATAGTATATAGCATTCGTTGATACACAAGATTATGGTTTTACACTTTACAATATAATACACCAGATTCTTATATTTTCTTTTCTCCTGCAATACGAAGTCCTAAAATAAAATCTGTGATAATACTTATATACACTATAAAATAATGTACACATACTTGTAATAATAATTATATTAATATTATTCCGCTATTTTAAAACATCATACGTAAATAAACCGATCAGCTAATTTGCAGTTTGTATTATTTTTTTAACTATTTTGCTTATTTGATTAAGTGAGCGCCATTGTTAACATGTTTATATATAGGTATCCTTGTACATACAAAACAGTATTATAGTTGAAATGTGTTCCTAAGTTTTTATTTTACATTATACAATCAAAGAAATACCACAAATAAATAAAACACATATAAATATAATAAAGGCGCCCTTTTTGCTGAAAGCACAAAACACTGTTATGTGGCTGATAGCTATTTTTTCAACGTGACTATAAAGAACTAGATAATATCCAAATAAGGAAAATAAAAATATAACGAAAATCATGCTTTTAAGAATAGAAGGGTAAGTATATCGTATAGTCCGATCATGTCGTACAATACCCGTAATATTCCACCATAAACCACTTATCACCCCCGCAATCTTGAATAATACCATCTCGAACATTAACAGGGCAACACAAAAGGCAAGTCAATAGCACTTGACCGACAAGAAACGGTGGCATTGTGTCTCGACTGCAAATACAACTTATTACATGTCCATTATCGGCTGACCAAACATCCGCCATGATTGTACACGTCACAAGCGTGCTCACGTGTATGCATTGTACGAATCCTGTGCGTATAAAACGTCACTAGTTGTTTTTTTAATTACAGCTAATAAATTTAATGTTATGTTACATTCTTAAATTTTATATTTAGAATAAGATAGTTGACTTAGCCATAGACAAATTTCAATTGAAGTATTGTATAGTTTTGTGTTATATAATCGAAGAGTTATTAATGAAAAAGTGCAAAACTAACCACTGTAAGATAGGAAGAAATGGAAATTAATTTATAAATATAAAATATTCTCATCTAAAAATAGACAATTGGAAAATTTCTCTATGGTCACCATTTCTCTATGTGAGGCCTGTGATATCACTCATACTTTGCCATTCCTAAGGACTAAGATGGCATGTCTCCTCATCATGAAATTACACTGCCACGGTTATAAAGGATGCTGCCATGTGGCTGGAATATGTAGACAGAGGTATAGACTTTACCAGTGTCTATTTCGGTAAATATATTACATTTATTTTTCAATATATCGCAAATAGCCTCCTACCCATTACGGTAAGTATCCACCAGTCCAGAGGCATTGGACATCATTACACTGCTACACATCCAGTACACCTGTATAAGAACTGAACTATATTATTTCCATCTTTTACTACCATAGTTTAAAAATAATTTACTCACATTATAAATATTCGAAATAAATAAAAAAATATATACTTTAAATAAAGCAAATCCCAAAGATTATAACTGATGGTGATATTAAACCGCTCATTACGGAAGCAGCCATAAGGAATCAACAACAAACTGCGGCATTTTAGGAGCACTGTAATTTTATTCATATATACAGTCGTTATGTCATCTAAATGCAGACAGGTTTCTGAGGAGACAGTTGAAATAACAATTTTCTATTTGCCAAAAATACAACGTCAGTTTGATGTTTTAGGAGCCACCTATTTGCATTGGATCAACTTTCTTGAAATCGTAATTATTATGTACATTACAAACCTGCCTACTTCTTAATGTCTTGAGATTTTTACCTGACTACCAAAAAAGAATAATAAAGTAACTCGGGTACGGGAATTGTAATCTTATAACACTTATATATTAAAAAAATATATCTTACACTAGCTCAATATCTCTAACATCGTACATTAACCGATTTTTATAGGTAAGGTAAAAATTCTCGTATATGTCTCGTATACAAACAATCAAAATGCTTCCCGTGTTTTCTATCGAGAGATTGTCCATTGGCAAGAAACTCTATTGTTAGCAGTTATATTATATTCTGTTTGTCTTTAAGTGCCAATGTTTTGGAAACAATCTTGGAATATCACTTTATCGGTATAAAATAAACAAGTAGCCAGAATAAACACTGGTTAATTCTTTCAGTTCATTTATTTAATACTTATTAACTACATTACTTATTTATAAAAATTAAATAAATAATAAAAATATATAAAAACTAAAAACCTACAGTTTACACATATCTAATAATTTTTATTTTTATTTATTTAATATTAACCTATATCTTCCCACTGCTGGACAATGTTCTCTCCAATCTCTTACCATGGATAATATAATAATTAATAAAAAAGGTATTTTATTAATTTATAGGGCAAGCAGTAACTAAGATTAATCTTTGTAAATATTTTTCAAAGATCAATTGTAATCTACTCTGGGACCGTTCAAGTATTACGTCAGCAGATTTATTATAATTATTTACCCCCCCCCCCCTATTTACCATCCCCTTTGTGAGCAAAAGTAAGCAAAGATCTTACTCCCTCCCCCCATGCTTACGTAAACATTTTTCAATTAATATATTGTTTTTTTTAGCAAAGACAATGTGAGGATTGCCACTCGTGTAAAAAAGTAAATAATTACCGATGATGTAATCATCATCTAAACTCTCCTACTCCCCTTGTTATGCAAAATAAGCAAAGTAAATAAATAGTGCTTACGTAATACTTGAACGGCCCCTTTGTAGATACTCACTAAACATTTTCTAATTAAAATTACCAAGCCAATTCCTACGCGAAATGCTACAGATTTAATACCTAACAAAACATTTTAAACTAATCAGTCAACATCACTAATTCTTGAACAAAATATATACGTTAAAAAATTCTCACTTTATAACCCATTCACTTTCTTTTCATAAAGAAGCACCTTCTTGTTCACAGAAATAAATGACAAAAAAGAAATAATAAGAGATGTAATATTTAATTTAATGTATAAATATCTCGTGTCGTGTTCTAGCTATGTGAAGGATGTAACCTGTTCCGTTAAATGCTTCACAGTCATAAAATTTAATTTCCGCTACATACAAATAGGTATGTTTATTACGAAATGAAACGGTTAGATACGCTATTGGGTATGGTACTCGAGTATAGATTAAGAAATTTTATTTTATACAAATTAATCACTAACAGGCATAAATATACTTTTTCTGCCTTTCTTTTATCTCAATAGCGCTCATTAAAGTTTAGATACTCAAATAAAGTACTAATGTATTGATATTCTATTACTAGTATTAACTATAAGAGATTATACTGAACTGATTTCTCAGAATGGATTTCAATTTTTTGTCTGATCTGATCTTCTTTCAAATTATCTATTGGCATCCGACATCCGACATCTGTGTAGATAAACAAAGACATCAAATAAAATTATATATTTTAGTTTATACCTTATAAGGTTTATTTTACATAACTCAACGACAACTCTACTACAACGATAATGAGTAAGTACTCAGAGTGAGTAACCTACTAACGAAGACCCGACGAGTTACAAGTTGTCTCCCTTATAATCCTATACTATTTTATCCTCTTTATTTATAGTAATATTAAATCGCAAATATTACTTTATTTCATGTCTATTACATTTCATGCTTCTAATTGACTAATAAGGCGACCCAGTGAATAAATTCTCTGTAATCGAGTATTTTTTTAATTTTTCTTTACCTGCGTAGTTATACACACAATAATCCTACTTTAAAAGCATTACTTTACAATCTTTGTAAATACCTACTTACAGAAACAAAACAATAAAGTGTAGCGAACAAACAAAAGTCATAGAACAATCTAACACCCGGATTTGTCTCTGTTTAACATCAAACTAGAACAGATCAGCAAACTTAATTTGAAATACAATAATGCTCGGAGCCCTTTTTCAAAGGGATCATCCTCTGCAAGCTCCAGCGTATACTCACTCACTATTGAGGAACTCCCACTACCGAAATTAAGTGGGCCATATTGTTATTCATGAATTCGTTTTAGAAGCAAAGATGTTTCGCTTTTTGTCCGACTTTAGTAATATTATTTTAGTCTTGAGCATAACATGTAACCTTCCAGAAACAGAATGGTGCTTTACCCTTATTGGCATAATTTCCTGAACTTTTTCACTGTTCATTTGGCTACAATCAGTAAGTATAAAGTGATTGCAGGCCAAACTGAATTAGATGCCATTAAAGTCTTTGTGCTGCGAAATTTAAACTATACTAGCCAGAACTTTAACAGCGGGTACCACTTGGCTAATGGCAATACAAGGCGCCGAAGCCAGAAGAGAAAAAAGCGGATACTTCTGTCTACCAGTAATGTCGCTAAGCTTTGGTTTAAAGAGTGATATAGACAATGAAATTACATGGCCATGATAAATTAATCTTCAGGAATGACAACGCATGGTTGGATAGACATATCTGTTGTCAGTGATAAAGTGCTATCCATAGAGCTTTTCATGTATTGCTACTGTCCATCAAGATGGACAGTCAACTTATTTCCTGTTCCATTTAATTAAAAAAAAAATGAAAATATTAGTGGTTCGAAATCAAAATTTTCTTTTTCACGCCATCTATGTAAAACATGACTTACCCGTTGCGTACCGTAGCAGGGGTCGAGGTTGCCCCCCGGGCGGAACATCGCCGCGCTCACTGCTGCCATCTGCCGGCTACCTCAGTATACCCTTCCACCGCGACATCGCTCTGAAACAAGCAAACCGGGTTGTTAGTCAACTAATACTGAAGATAATGAATGTGGACAGTATAAACAAAATACGCTTACTGCTATAACCCCAGATGGTGTAACGCTAATTTTTTTATAAGATCTAATATAACGAAAGTCTTGTAATGAGTTAATAAATTTTACTCTACAGCTTTGTAGGTATCATCGTCAGTTCCAATTATTTTTATTCTAGTTTTTATAGTAAAAAGGCTTTATTCGAGCGTTGAATTGCAGTAATTACATGATTGAGGGAATGTTTAACCGACGTCATAAATAAGGAGATTATAATTTTGTTAGTGCTTTATTTTTATGTTAATTGACTCAGACCTTTCGATTGCAAAATATCGTTTATATTTTAATATATTATTCTGCGATGTTAACCGCCTTAAAAAATAAGTAGTTTCAATTAGTTCTTTTTTATGTGTGATTTTTAATAATACAATATTAACATTCCTTAATTTCAAGACTTGTGCAAAAAATATGTATAGAACTAAATATTTATAAAAACAACAAGGATGTATGTACTCTATTAATATGAGGTCGAATGTTCATCATTCAAATACCATGATCATAAAGACATGATCAAATAATTAATAAGAGGAATCATGGCTTCCCAGGGAACATACGTTATTTGTAAATTAAAGCCTACAAATTAATGTTTATAGGTATACTTATAAGTTATTAACTTAGAATGTCTTAATGGTAGACAGAAAAGCATATTACATTAAAGAACATTTATAGATTTATTAGCTGTGCCCGCGGTTTCACATGAAATTACGCCTACGTGTTATTCTGAGGTATAAGTTATAATATTGTAAAGTTTCATCAAAAACCTTTCAGTAGTTTTTGCGTGAAAGAGTAACAAGCATCCATCCATCTATCCATCCATATTCAAAAACTTTCACGTTTATAATATTAGTAAGATTTTATATTATGCGTAATTAATTTATGCAAAATATAAATGAGATTCAATATAATATATAAATGGGGAACAATAATTATGAAGTTACAAAAATAGCAGTCGTTTTATTACCATTATTTCATACTATCGACTCACCCAAACCCAGACAAAACCAGGGCGTGTTGATAGTATATAGTCGATGGCACGGGTATTTCGACGAATTTAAATAAAACCTTAACGACTTACACACGTAAACTTTCCTCAGAAATCTCCATTTGACAACTCCATTGATGCATGAAAAATGCATCATATAATCATTACTTTTTTTATGTTTTAGCATTTGGTTTACTAATATATTAAATTAAGGGATATTGTCTTGTATTAATTTATTTTAATAGTATTAGGATTACAGTTGATTCTTAAACATTTTTTAAGATAGTACTTACATCAAATTTTGGTTCGGGGCTTGTAGCCGAGTGAGTCCCCGGCATATTTTTTTTATATTCTTAAATATGGAACGCTGTTCGTTCTAAATTTCAAAACATTAATAAATATCAGATAAATGAATTGTTATTTTAAAAATAGAATACCGCTACCACAGCGTCTACCACTTATAACAATGAGCTACAGAAAATAATAAAATAGATGTTCTCTTTTCCTAACCACAAGTACCTACCTACTATTATTATTGTGCAATGCGCGAACGCATCCGTAAGCGTCGGTGCACTTGATGTCATTGACCCCGCTTCCTAGCGACAGTTCCCACACGGGTCGCGGTAATGATGCACTGTTTACAATGTAACAGGTTTATACGTAGGTAAAAACTAGTGCATGGCATTGGATATACTCTATGTACAAAAAAATGAGTATTCTCGGGTCGTATTGTGTTTCTAGCAAATGAATCAGTCATAAAACCGAATAAATAAAATTTCGAGTAAATTATATAAAAAATAATCTATCAAAATCATATTGTAAACATTCTTACTAAATATATACCCGTGGAATTGTTCAAAAATTTTTTATGTTCCACAAAGAATCATATTACAAATTCGTGCAAAATTTAGATGTAAACATCATGCGAATAAACGTAAAAGCCAAAATATACATCAGAATCCGTCTAGTTTTGTTTAAAATATCCTGTTACATACTGGATCGCCGCTGGATCGTATAATATATAGCATATGTTACACTAACAATACGAGTAGATACCTTGCAAACACTGAAATATTTTTTTAAACCGGTCAAGTTATTTTTGATGTCATGTATTATAAACTTACAAATAATAAAATCTTTCTTCTTTATAATAATAATACTTAAAATAACACTTTAATAAATAATACTTTAAAATAATATTACTGTAGAGAACTCGATCTTAGCGTTGGTATCTACTTAAGAGATACATTAATAATGGACCCTTTTTTATAAATTAACATCAACTGCATTCTACCTGTACGATGACGTCATCAAATAGAAAGTAGTTCCTAGACCAATTGATTAATTATATCTACGAAGTTAATATATTATCTATGCTATCGATATCATAATTACATATATGACTGATTTCGTAACAGCTGTTACAATTCATTCTATACATAGAGTCATAATTAATATTTATATCCAGATCAAAATCAGAAGTAGATTATTTATTGCCGACGTAATCTTAATTCTATATATACACATATAGTTGGCCTCGATGGTCTAGCAGTTTAGCACACCGCCTAACTTACGATGGTCGTGGTTCGATTTCTCTCACGGCACAAACATTTGTATTCCTGAGTATATGGTAATTGGTCGTATCGCTGTGGATGTTTTCTATGTATATAATTATATGTATCTACAAAAAAATATCTCTTGTACAAGCTCTGCTTTGCTTGATCTAGTCCAGGTCTGAATTTTCCTAAGATGTTATTATATACGAGTATAGTACTTAGGTGTTTAAGGTATTGTTTTAGAGCTCATCTTGTTTTAGAGTTCTCTACTTAAACCAATTAGAGAGGGGGGAGATGGATTGTTAGTAATGTAGACTAATAAACTCATTGCACTATGTCAGGTTGACCTCCACGCGGTTCCCCCAGGAAACTATCGTGATAAATTTGGCACGATAGGCCAACTAATCTGACCTCATGACTCATCTCCACACGTGCCCCAGCAGCGCAAAGCGTTAGTGCAGGCGGTGAAAAAAAACCGTTTGGGACAAGAATTGAAGAATACTTTTTTATGAGCAAGGTTATTTTCTTCCTCAGGAGAGTGTAATATTTATAAAACAGTGATACACGATCACATTCAGAATATAAAATACAATTTTATCTATTGGCATCAACGTTGTACGAATTAGAATTGAAATATCGTCAAACGTGAAAATCAAGTCCATTTATCATTTACCAATCCGATTTTTAATTACAACCTACGATTATTGTATCGCTCCGAAAGGAAGTAGAAAACATAAATTGTTCAATGCAATTGACTTAGTGAAGTTGTTTCACATAAAATTATTACCATTGTAAATATATCAAATTAATCAACAAACATAATCTAAATTGAATAAACTACAAGTACTCGTAATATTTGGTATGAGTACTCATAGTTACAAAGAAAAAAAAGAAATATTTGATTAATATATCTAATAATAATAATCCATAACAATTCACACACTGCCATCTAGCTTCAATCTAAGCAGAGCTTGTGTTATGAATACTAGACAATTAAAAGAAATATTTAAATATACCTTTTTTCGTATATACATACATAATATATATAAAAAACCTCCAGACCGATATAAGCAATCGCACACAATCAAACAGCCCATACTCGTATAAAACAATAAATTATATTATTATTTGATACTAAAATTTTGTTGTTACTTTGTTACCCCACACATACTTAAATTATTGAGCCTATACTTATACTATATTGGTGGCAAACAAGTACATCAACGACTACTGACTGTACGTGTTGTCTCTGAAGTAATTATATCTGGTAATCATTAAGCAATTTTAGTTTATTTTTAGATTTAAAACAGATCCTTAACTCACGCTTTCCACATAATAGTCGTTTATTTTTGAACCTGCATAACAGACACTTTCCGTATAGTAAACACGCAATCAAGCAAATTTCACAAAGGGAATCATCCCACAAACAATACTAAGAGACACGAAACAATCACAGAAATTGTCATGAAAACAGCAATTTGTGCAATCTTTGCTCAATTTGTCACAGAAATGACATAATTGTGTGACCTCCAACGAAATCGTCTCAAACGTGAAGCCGGTCAGTGAAAGTATTGTAGTGAATCATAATGTACATACAATCATTGGCTTATTGGGAGCACTGTAGTAATGTAAGTATACCACCTTCCACTTTACGAGCTATGGTCTAGCCATTTAACATACGGCCTACCTTCCGATGGTCACGGATACCATCCCGGACAGCACAAACATTTGTATTCATAAGTATGTTTGTTTGTATTAGTGATATTATTTTTCTGTGTATATTATGTGTTTACAATAAAAATGTATTTAACCACATCGATCAGTTGCCTAGAAGAAGCTTTGCATATTATGGCACTAGATGGCGTTGTATGAACGTTTCAGTATTATCACAGATAACATAATATTATATAGTATTATTATTATTATCTTTCATAAATTACAGCATATCTCCCTATACAGTTAATTGCCTACTTATAAGGGATTACTACTTCAATATACTATTGTCTTCTAAAAAACTCATTAATACTAAAGATACATGGATGTTATATACAACAATTATACAGAAAAGAATGGTCCTGCCCTTATGACATCCTAGCCCCTTTACTAAACGGAGCTATATATACTTTAAATTACACAAAGAAAACTTAAATACTTTTCAACTACAACAGCTAAATGTATACATATTATAATACGCATATAAAATATAAAAATAATAAATAATCTTCTTATGTAAGTTATGCATATAAGTTTTTGTAACCAACTGATAAATATTAAATATTACAAATCGAGTGCACTAATTCTATTATTGAATAGAAGAAAATTAATGTAGAGTTGCAGTTATTATTCCCATAATTATTTAATATGACACTAT